CCCCAAAACCCCAAAACCCCATAACTTTAAAATAACACAAATTAGATGATTAGCTAATTTCTATGGAATAATTTTAGATAGATTCAAGACATACTACTATTATTATAATTAATTTTTATTTAATAGAAATCTATAATGACAAACGAAATGGGAAAATATAAGTCAAAAGACAAGTAAATCCCTTTAAATTACTTTTCCATTCTTAATCAATTATTAGAACCTAGTAAGAAATCCAGTTAGATGAGACATACTTGCTTTGTGTCGACCCATAGAATTTAGAATAGTACTTGCTAAACATAGGAAAGAAAAAAGCTGAATTTAAAATATAAGACCAAATTTCAAACTTAGAAATGATTCAAAACAAAATAAAGCGTCACAAATACATAATGGAAGAGTTATTGAGGCTAGAAAGTTCTCCGGATGACTAGACTTGGACTTTAGGAGATGAAGAAGCAGCTGAAATAAAGAGATATCGAAGACAAATGATTCTTCCGTATCTTTTACATGAAGAGTCACATAAATATCCAAGATATGTGGATTAATCTGATTTGCCTCAGAAAAATCTGAAAAATCCCGCAGAAGACATATTCATAGATATCAAAGTATTAATTTCTTCAGACTTCTACAAGAAAAATGATTATAAATAGAAGAAAACAATAAACTCTGAACCTGATTAAAAGAACTATGTTGAAATTATGCAGGTATTTTTGTTGGATACTGCTGATAAACTCACTAGAAAAGTTCAAAAAAGAGTAGATAAATTGCTTGGATTCAAAGTAAGCAGCAAGTCAGATCCCTTGAAATATATCTTAAAGTTTAGAAATGTAGAATCTTACATTTTTGGAAAAGAGTAACTCATATATTTCTAGGAAATTAGAGAATTTTTAAGGAAAAATAAATTTAGTGGAGATGAGAAGTAGCAGCTAGAATTGGTAGTTTTAGAAATGAATACTGAGTTTAAGGAATGTAACTTTCCTCCCATGTATAACAGATAATTTGAATTAGTTAAAAGGGAAAATAGGAGTAGAGGAAGTACTATAAGACAGGGTACATTCTTTTCAGAAAGTTTGCCTGTAATGAGAAGTTCATCAAAGAATGTTGATATAGGATCATAATTAAAAATTAGAGAAACTTAAATTGGTAAAAATGAGTTAGAAAGCAGATCTTCAGATATTTTAAGAATGTCACATTCGCCAAATATTAAAGTGATTGATCCAGATTAGAATGAATAAATAGCAGCCAGATATTAAGAGGAGTCAATATTCTTTTGGTATATGCCTAACAATTTCAATAATTAACCTGAAAAAATTGCTAAATCCTAAAACAGCATCTAATATGAATCATTTTATAATCATGAAGATTTGGGCAAATTCATATTCTCCTGTAATCTTATTAATGACTTTAAGATGTAGGTTCTAGGAATTAACAATATCGTCTAGTAAATCGAAAAATATATCTTAACTACATAAGAAGAGCAAAAAGAAAATGGAAAGTAGAGCAAGAAAGGCAATAAACCAGTTATCTTAGAGTTAGAATAAATAACAATTGATCTATAGGAAAAACCTAAAAAATTCGATTCAAATGAGAACAAAAAAATAGAGGGCTTAGAATTTGAATCATCTCATTTCGATATTTTATCTGCTTAGGAGAGAGATAAATTCAATGAACAACAAGAATCTCCAAAAATTACTAAGGAAAATTTAGCATTTACTAAGAAATCTGGTAAATCCTCACATCATTAAAAGAAACCCAAGACATTCTTTGTAAATTTTAGATCTGTCATAGTACAAGTTTAAGTTTACCTTGGCAGCAAAGAAATAACTGAACCTTTATATACTAATCCAGGAATATTTAATGACAATGTAATGCTGGGAGATACACTAAAGTTTAGAAAGAGAAAGTACAATAAAGTTTAGAGCAATATTCTCGATCTCGCTAATCTACCTAGCTATTCAAGAATATGTTTTAGCATAATCGGCTTTGATATTGATAGTTAAAAATTAAAAAACAGAATTGTTAAGGGATATGTCCTTGGTTCTGCCAGTATATCCTTATTTGATTATGATAAGATATTAAGAGGAGGGATTTAAAAATTGAAGGTTTGGCCTTTGACAAAATATGATCCTAGAATAGTTTGCTAAACTTAATGTAACACTTTAGAATAAAAACACATTAATTAGAAATTTGATGATAGTTAAGAAATGACATTGATAATTGGATTTCTAAACTTCAACAAGCCGGTCAAGTGGGCTCTTAAATCTTAAGTGTCTGAATAAAAGTAGTAATTCATTGAGTCAGAAATTGTTGAATCAGACTTATTTAATAAGACAGATTTAAAAAATGATAGCCAATAAAGATAGGATACATAAGTTATCGACAAAGAAGGAGATTATTTGAGGGAAGTAAAGAGAATGCTTGATAGATATCCCTTAGAAGAGAAAGAAGAGGATGACTATCATCCTAAAATAATCATCTAAAATAGGAAATATGTCGATATTTTGCCTTCATTCATTAAAGCAGTTGATTTCACTTATAAGAAATATAGAGATATTTGCTATACTTACCTCCTAAAATCTGAAAAGGCGTAGAACCTTCAACCAGATGTGGCTCTTGCATTGTTAGATTCCAAATTTGGAGATGAAAGGATAAGATAATTTGCCGTTGATAAGATAAAATCTCTTGATGATTATATGCTAGCACTCTACATGCCTTAACTGGTTCAAGCTCTAAAAGCTGAACTCTTTCATTAATCTTACCTCTCTGAAATGCTTTTAGAAAGAGCGATAAGAAACACAGGAGTCGTCGGGCATGCATTCTTCTGGGCTTTAAAGTCTAGTCTTCATGAAAAATCGAGCTTTGAAAGGTTTTATTTGATTTTGGAGAGATTTTTAATGTGTTGCGGAAGATTTAAATTTACTCTGTATAATTAGTCTTTAGTTAATAGAGCACTGATGGAAACTTCTAAAATGTAGTAGGAATATAGAGATAAGATAACACATGAAAAATTCTTAGCTCATGATAAAAGGCAAAAAAGCATTTTAAACACTGTTTTAAAGTTGAAGGCCTTTGAAATTAAGGAGAAGATTAAATATATACTACTAAATGAATATAATATTTTCAAGCTAGAGGAACTTCATGAAATCAATTAGAGATATGAGAAAATATTCGCACAGATTTTGTATATAAGACTTGCTATTAAACCAGAAGATGCCAGTAATCCAATAAAATTTGAAGATTATCAAGACTAAATTTTAATTGATCCTAAAGAAGAAATTCTTTTCTATTTCCCTTTAGAGCCTAAGAAGCCTGTAATTGGATTCTTGGAAAATAAAAGTATATATTTTTCCTCTAAAAAACTACCGCTAATGATAGTCTCATAATTAAAACAAGATAACATTGAGAAGGATACAATGTTATATGTAAATAGAGAATTTGAAGATTTGCAGTCATTTAAAGAAGAAGCCAAAGGGAATGAGGTTTAGCTCTTAAAGATTATTTTCAAATATGGAGATGATTTAAGGTAGGATAACTTAGTGCTTCAGCTTTTTAAATTGATGGATAAGCTTTGGATTGAACAAGATCTTAATCTGGAAATGATAGCTTACTCAATATTTGAGATAGGTTATTAGATGGGTTATTTGGAATTAGTTGATGATTCTATTGAGTTCGCAGATATCTATAAAGCTATTGGAGCTCGTAGTCCATTTGAGGAAGAAACATTTTATAAGTATGCTGAGACTATATTCAAACCGATTGATGAAAAAAGACAAAAAGATAATTATGACGACAAATCATAGATTAAAAGGAAGCAGTTTCATTAAAATTTTCTAAGAAGTTTAGCATGCTAGTGTGTAGCCACCTACATTCTAAGTATCGGTGATAGGCACTGTGGAAACTATATGCTTTAGAAAACATCTGGCAAATTTTTCCACATTGATTTCGGGCATTTCATGGGAAGTAAAAAGAAAAAATTTGGTCTTAAAATTGAAGTTGAGCCTTTTATTTATCAGAAGTAATTCAACTACTTTTTGATCAATTTTAAAACAGAGGATGCAGATATTGAAAAAAAGAAAAGTATTATAAATCAAGAGAACTAAGATAGTCAACAAGATGCTAAAGAAGATTTACCAAAAAAGAAAAAATCTATTGATAATGTTGGCGCAATTAATACTGATAAAACTGATAAGAATCTTCAAGACCTGTAAAAATTATGTTGTTAGGCATTTAGAATATTGAGATAAAATAGTCATTTCCTCATTAATGTATTGATGTTAATGGTAGTGAGTGGTATTGACTAGCTCACTGAGAAAGGAATAATGGATTTAGTTTAGAGATTAAAATTGAATGTCTCCGACGAAGAGGCAGAAAATGATTTCAGAAAGTAAATGCAAATAGCTCTTGGGGTAAGGAGAAGGAGAATATTTGACTACATGCATGTTGGTATTCATCAGCACAAGAGAAATAAATTTTCTAATATCTTCAGATGTGTTTGCTGCTGTTGTTGCATTTGATATTTTTATTAAGCCTATTTGATATTATTTTAACGAATTCAATGATTTTAATATACCATTTAATTTATTAGATTATCATCAATCGGGGTTTTGGGGTTTTGGGGTTTTGGGGTTT